TAACCCAGAGATTTCCACAGATATAAAAGCATGTTTCTGAAATAAATTCCTTTTTTTGTCTTTTTTTTTTTTTTAAATTTGTAAATTTTAACTTGATTAATTACTAAATGTAGGATGTTCACTTCACTTCAAGTTACAGTCATTTTAAACACATTAAGCTCAAGTCTGATTGATGTGAACTTTTTTTTAAAGCATTTGTATCTATTTTCTATAAAAATATAAGTCACAAGCACAAGTAGAAAAATAAAAATTAAGACATTCTTGGACAGTCTCTGTGAAGCCTTCATAAAATATGAATGTCAGGAGCAGAAATCAGTGGTTGGACTTGGCCTTTGACTAGATGCCCCCCCCCCCCCCCCCCCCCCCCCCCCCCCGCCCCCCCCATCCCTCTTGTTACAAAGCACACGAAAAGCTGAATGTGAGCTGTTGCAGAGTGATCTCTAATATCAAGTATTATGGCTCTCTTAAGATAAATTCTGAGATATAACAGAATTATGGATCGCTGAAGTTCCTTAAATATTTGGATGTCTAATCTCTGCCAGCAGATTTGGAGCCCTGCCGAACCTATTCTGTGCATGTAAATGACTGATATTCTGTTTATAGTTTCTCATGAAGTGTTACATAATAGGAAGCACTGCAGCGACGCTTTACCTTGAGTAGTCCCATCATGACCAGCAGTGTGGAGAGGAAGCAGTATGACTGGAGGGTGGAGCCAGAGAGGAGCTTCTTCAACATTGCATCTGTGGAGCACAGTGACACACTGCATGTCAGAATCTCAGAGAATAGAAGCTATCCACGTGAAAAAGAGGACAGCACAAGAGAGAAACTGACGTCCTCACTAATAAGCAGCCCACTCAGTGCAATTATATTTGAGGAATCTCTGCATGCCAAAGCTTTGAAAAGGGTGTGCTGTGTTGCATTTCAATGTTTGACTATAAAGTGACAGAGGACCTAATTTGGTTGTTCTCATTAATTAGTCATATATAAACTGTTCCAATGGTGCCTGCTCATATTAAAAGTTTCAAACAATGACAGCAGTGTCTGTGCTGATGATCCTTGTATGTTAAAAGCTCAGACTTTAGTTTTCCTACTTTTGGCTTTTTATGCAGTCAGTGGACATGGTCATCTCAGACACACAGCTGTAGCTGTGAGCAGAAAAGCTCCACCTGCTGTTTAATCCTTTTGTTTGTGAGGGGCAGCCAATCAGAAGAAAGTTGGCTTAAATTAAGAGGAGCTTGTTTTTGATGAACTGAGAGGTGGCACCAAGGTCCAATATAAGACAAATAAGGATTATTTTGAACTTTGAATCCTGCAAATGTGGGACTAATGAGGAGCAGAATCAGTCTAATGTAAGTGTGACTTTATTCACCGATAGTATCCAGAACAGCGGCCTTGGTCTCCGGATCTTCAC